AAGCATTTGAAGGGCTGGCAGTTGTCGTGTTTGCGCCGACAGTCTGTGCAACAGTTTTTTGATGCATTTTCAAGGATATATCCATAGATTGGCATCACTTCAGAGACTTTCCAAACAAATTCATCACTCATTCAGTGCTCGTCCGCTCACCACAAGAAACGATCGCAAAATGGCTTCAAAACGGACCAAACTATCCGACGACGAGAGGAAGACTAAACTCAATCCACTCATTGATAACAAGTGGTCGTTGGATGACTCAGGAAGGGATGCCATCAAAAAGCACTTCCTATTCAAAGACTTTAACGAAGCGTTTGGTTTCATGACGAGAGTGGCCCTGAAGGCCGACCGCATGGATCATCACCCGGAGTGGTTCAATGTCTACAATAAGGTGGACATCACACTGTCATCGCATGATGTGAATGGGATCAGCGAACGCGACATCTCTTTGGCCACATTCATCGATCAGTGCTATCAGTCCTATAAGTAATCTCTTCGTAAGAAGTGTTTAGAAATGTCTATTCAAACATGTATTTCAATGTATTGTTTATTATTATGGGTTAATAAATGTTCAAATTTTAAGACTACAGAGTATTCGTGATTAAAAAGTTAATTAATTTTTTCGCTTAAACTTCTGCCTCTGTTTCGGTCTTTTGTTTTGATGTTTAGTTGTCTTATTTGTACTCTTCTTCGGCTCGAGTTTTAGTTTGTTTTTAGTTTTTGGTTTCTTCTTCTTTTTGGTCACAACCGGAACTCTTTCCGCACTTTCTATCGGTTCACTCCTTTCGATCGCAACTATCGATTAAAATTAAATAAAATACTTATCATTCAATTAACCACTAAATTGACAATTGATCCAAACCTCCGACATCTTCTGTTTGCTGCGATCTATTGGTTTCTATCTTATGTTTCGCACATTTGATGTTCAGTTCAGTTAAATAGTCGTCGAGTGAATTGACGAGAATTGGTTTGGCCTTCAAATGCAATTAATATTCATATGACTGCATGACATACACTATAGTCTACTGCAAAGGCTATACCTTATAGTTTAGGATCTGCTCTCTTAAGCCATCTTTGAGTTCAAATAATGCCGAATAGAGGTCTGAGATGTAAACTATAATAGCCTTCGATATAACGCTACAAAGAAACACAAAATTCATTACAATTTGGGAAAAATTATTACAAAATTAGATGAAATACTTGAGCCGTGATAACGAAGACGACATCATCAGGAAATGTGGCACAAGATGTCCGGTCCTAAGCCAAGGGGTGCAGTGACTGTACGGACATTAATGACTGACAATTCAATTTTGTATTAAATTAAGTTTTGATTCAAATGAAAACCTGAAGGCGTTTTGCGAAATGAGTATAAATTTGCGGAGAATTTGCAGACTTTCCACAAACACTTGTAAAACGGATTCAATTTGTTGTCTAAACGGCAACACTATATGACCGCTCGATATGTCATAATTTTCCCTAAATTACAGCAAAACTATTAATCAAACATTCATTCAATCATAAGATCTAAGTATTAATTACTGACACAACAAGTGATGACATCTTATCGTTCATTACATCTGATAATTTCAAAGCGAAGAAACTTTTCAGACATTTATTAGCCTTTAATTGGCGGTCATATGAAATACAATTAAATCAATGATTAGTTTAAATGCCATAAATTGATAGTACAGTACAAAGTGTTATACATGTTTGATGATCCGGGACACTTTAGCGTTTCTTAAGCGTATAGTAATCCTCTTCATAACACCGGTGAAGACAATGTACTCATCGGTGAGACAAACGCCGTTCAATAGAGCCGTCAGACTATTAAACCATTTCTTAATTGCCTTCAAATCTATGGATAAAAATGGTATCAAATTAACAGTCATTTCAGTGAATGAGTGATTGAAAGACAAACCGTATTTGCATTGAATGGTCTGGTATTCACTCCAATCGTATTTGTTTGACATTTCACTGCATTTAATGACAATTTAAATGATAACTAATTGAAAACAAACTAAATATTTAGTGATTTAAAGTGATATCAAAACACATGAAACTTATTGTTTACAAACTTTGTATGTGTTGTGCGAATCACATGGTATGCATACAGCGCTCACTTTGAAAAGTGTTGACAACTTTTACATCACATAACACATCGTAATGTAATCGCCGGTAATGTCGGTAATGAATGTGACATCAGGTCATTGAATATATTGATTACATGTCTACTCACACGGAGTGTCCACTTCTTGAGCGCAGTTGTCATTTAATTCATGTTTAATTAATTCATACGAAACTTATTTTATTCATCAAACATTGATTAAAAATTGAGTTTCAAAAGTTTAAACAAACAGTGTGCATTCAAAATTCAATTTATATTAGTTATAAAAGTATATTATTTGACAATAATTGTATTATTTTATAATATTATTGTATATTATTATGAATGGTCTGAACATATGTCTTGAGCTCATGTTTGGAGAGAATATTGTATTTTATAGTAATAAACAATTTGTATAAGTAATCAATTCGAGTAAAAATGAGAACAGAATTCATTTTAAAAAACATGGATTTTATGAATTTGTGTGCCTTTGGAATCATTTACGGAATAAAACATTTCATTTGTAAAAACAATAAATTAAAATCACAATTAAATTAATAACATGGTCGCAATTATGTTAGTAAATCTAAAACAGTTATTTTCAACAACTAATATAGTATAATCTAACATTTGGGTTTAACACTAAAATCTATTATACTATGAATAAACTAATAATAGGAAATAATTTAATAATTAAAATGAGAGTTTACTATAGAATATCGAGAAAATAGATTTGAGATTTAAATTATTCTTGAAAAGTACTAATCGTGTCAATCATTACTGATTAGTACCGTTAACGTTGTTAAAGATTTTGAGATGAATGGCCTGTCCCTGTCCCTGAGCCGATTGATTACTGGCATTGGCGTGCATTTGATTGCTGCCCGCGTTGGCCACGTCTGGTTGGTTGTCGTCTACCGCGTCGTTGCCGGCGATGGGCTGACCCTCTTTGTCGGCCGACCCGTCACTTTTAGCCTTACTATCGGGTCGAGTGAAGTTGAATTTGAACCCACAAAACATTGTCTGCAATACCAATTGGACGGACAGTGGTTTTCCTGCGCGCACTTCACAGGTGACGGCCAACAAGAGGGCCAACAGTCCTATCCCCACAAAAACCGAAAGTATGAGCCAAAACGTGGACCAATCAAATGCTTGTGAGGCTGGGGTTGAGGCCATGAGGGTGGGGTAAAGGGAGGTGTTTGTGGTGGTGGCCGGGGTTGTCATATCATTTGGTTTGAATGTAGTGTCGATCGAAGCGGTTGACGGCTTGTTCAGCGGTATATTGAAGGCCTTACGGATGGTGTCACCCAATAAGATCTGAGCCACGGCGACCGGTGCCATGAGTTGGGTCATCACTAGGATTCCAATCCATAGCTACAAATGCCATAAATGTAATACAGTATATCATTCACACAATACAATACAGTATTACTTATTTCTAAAATAATTGGCGTTTTATAATTTGATTATATTAAACATAGGATTTGAAAAGTTGTATATCAATTAATTGTAAGCAAATGTATAGTTCATTAAACTATGAAATCAAATACAATATATTAATTTATATTACAATAATACATTATATAGCAGTCTATAATTAATTAGCTTACTATTATAAATATTTATGTTCTAGGTTAGATTTTTCATATTAAGATAGTGGAGCAAAATAATCACAATAGTTAGTTATGTTGGTTACTTGGAGTCGTGAAATCAATTATCACCTAAACTGTTCCAGACCATTGGACCAGGTCGTGTGATATATGGTTGAAATCAGATTAATGAGCAGGTACAGAAATTTAAATCTTGAGCTATCTGCGAGGATATTCCTCCATGGTCAAGAGAAGATAATTGCATGACATCGAGTCCAAGAAGTGATATTATTTACTTACAGCAAGAGCTGATTCCAACCATATATCACATGACATGTTCAATGGCCAGGAACTGTTCAGGTGATAGTTGATATAGGCGCTTCATAAAGTTAATGTGTAAGTGGATAAATGACTTGAATGCTTATACAGGGTCGCCATCGTATGTACTATACATACGGCACAGTATTTCCCAATCTTGTAGTCCGTACGGACCTCTGCCGCTACGATATACACCATTACAACAAATAAGTGGTAAAGACTTAAATGTTAAGTCAATTCTTTATTAATAATTAGAAATAGCCGTTTAGTACTATTTGTTAGACAATGAAAATACGAACAAACTATATTATCAGATTATTTTTAAACAAAGTAGTTTTGAAATAAACACCTCTGCACGAACATACAGTAGTTGACAACTCAATATACTTACTATTACCGTAGCATTAAATTTTTGTACTTGTTAGATTTAATTGAACATAGCAGTAAATAGGTGTAAAAAACAATTGACTATAACTTACAGAAATCAGGATTGAACTTTCGATCATTTTGAGCACTTTATCCATTGATTATCCAAACAATTAGTCGTTGACTGTAATAAATGACATTATAAATGAATTCATAACATAAAAATAATTAATAAATATTTAGTTTTAAATGTATATGAGATTTAAATGAGCTTGCCTTAACTATAAGAAATATATTTTAAAGTTATTAATAGTTAGATTATATGTGTTTTTGGTATAACAATCAAAACTAATTTATTAAATTCAACTCAATTACCAAATCATATAATCGTTATATAAAGCAAAAGTGTATTTAGAATCAAGTTTTTAAAATAATTTCACAAAAATACAGAAACAAATGATATCTCAAAACAAAATGAAAATTCTCTTCGAAACTAAAACAAAAATAATTGTTTTTTTTATTGCAAACACTAAATAGAAATATTGAAAAATCTCAAATTTCCTTATAAGTTTATCATAAGGAATTGGACTTATATTTATTTTAAATTACAATTTCCTTCATACAAACGTTAATACAGTATATGTTATAAGAAGAATAACTACAGAATATTTGTTAACAAACAACAAAATGGTGATAAAAAATGATATTTAAATCAAAATACATACATTTAAAAGTAATAGATTGGACACAAATTTACTTAACAACAAACTCGAAATCAAATGTATAATACTTATGTATTATAAATTAAATCAAGTTATTTTTTATTTGAAATGAAAAATCTAAGTGAAAAGTGTTTATAAAAATATTCTGATAGGCGTCACAAATGCTGCAAATGCTCTCACTATACGTTATATAACGGAGAGAGTGGCAGTGCAAGTGAGCGCTAACATGCACTGTACGGTATTGTCTAAGCAAACGTATAGGTATTGAACGCAAACGGCTCCCACTCCCGTCACAAATGACTCAATTTGTGAGTCTTGAGTCGCTCTCATGTCCACTTGGAATGGGATATTAACACACTATTGGAAAGTGACAGTTCAACCAACTTAATGAATGCTTCATTTCTGTTGCAAACAAACAACACTTACCGTAAAAGAACGGCAATTCAAGGACAATCAACTGAATCATTATAAAACATATACTTGTTTAGCACAAAAATTCCGTTTGCCCTGTTCATAATTTTTTTCTCGATTGTAAACGAACAACTCAAAGTTCTCTCTCTCTCTCTCTCTCTCTCTCTCTCTCTCTCCAACCTTTTATTCTTTCATTTCATCTCAGATATGATATAATTGATAACACTTTCAAAATATACAGCACTATCGAAATGTTAAGAGTATTTAAAACACTATAACCCACTTACTCTTGACGTGTAAAAAACTTTATAACAATTTGCTATATTAACTTATAGCGCAAATATTTATTCCTAACAAAGTTTATATAAAAATACAATTTTGACACTGGTCAAAAAATATACCAAGAATGTGTGTTATAAGAATATTCCTAATGACAGAATGCTCACTTATACATTGAAACACATATAGCTGACTATAAAACAATAATCAACTTAATCTATTATGATTGAATAGAATATAATTAAAACAAATAATACATACATTTGGCACAAAATCGGATGACAGTCTACAGCGAGATGTGTTGAGCAAGTGATACAGTGAACCAAAAAGCGTGTCTTAAATACTCTCAAATTCCGTTTGTTTGTTCGCTGAACAAGAATTGTTCGTTCAATTCAATATCCAATGGGAACTAAGCGTGTGTTTGACGCGTAAACAGTTAGCGGTTTCGGCGATGAACTTCTAACGCTATGTTTTGTACTGCAGGTGTGAAGTCATGACAAACACTTGGAGGCCATGCGATGAGAGAGAGATAGAGCGAGAGAGATAGGGAGAACATTTGTAATGACATTCTCAAAAGTTTTGTTTTTTGTTTTTTTTGTATATTATAACTCAAAATATATTATAATTTAATAAATCATTACAAATGTTACAAAAGTTATCATAAATATTACATGAACAATCAATCAGGTAAATCACAATTATGTCGAGTTTTATAGTTGTAGTTTACTAAACTATGAAATCAAATATATTAATTTATATTACAATAATAAATTATATAGCAGTCTATAATTAATTTGCTTATCATTAACTATTATAAATATTTATTAAGACTTGTGTTTCAATATTTTATTGAATATCAGTGAAAAGGAGTTTAAAAATAATAAAATTTAAGATAAAAGCCTTCACTGAGACCATCAGGACTTAAGATGTTAAGAGAGATCATAGAAATGATTGTCGTTTAACCTAATGTTTGAATATAAATATTTATGTTCAAGGTTAGATTTTTCATATTAATTAAGATAGTGGAGCAAAATAATCACAATAGTTTGTTATGTTGGGCTACTTGGAGTCGTGAAATCAATTATCACCTAAACTGTTCCAGGCCATTGAACCAGGTCATGTGATATATGGTTGAAATCAGATCAATGAGCAGGTACAGAAATTTAAATGTTGAACTATCTGCGAAGATATTCCTCCATGGTCAAGAGAAGATAATTGCATGACATCGAGTCCAAGAAGTGATATTATTTACTTACAGCAAGAGCTGATTCCAACCATATATCACATGACATGTTCAATGGCCAGGAACTGTTCAGGTGATAGTTGATATAGGCGCTTAATAAACTTAATGTATGTGGATAAATTACTTAAATGTTACCGTTATTTGGGTTACGAATCCCAACGCAACCCATGCCTTATATAATGAGACAATTATATTAATGTTATGATAGATGTTATCATATAATGCCAAAACACTTGATGTTAAATGTCAGTTAAACCGTTTACTAAATACTAAAATCAATTTACTATTATTTATAAACTATATATAACTCACAATGCAGTCCATTATTTGATGTCTAGTCGTTGCGAATGGGTTTGAAATGATCACAAACTTAACCGCCGCTGAAATGACTCGTCTAGTGGTCGACACTTTATTTGAAAATAAACAATATTTTTTAGTTTGATATATGAATTAAAACTAAATATATGATATTATTGTTAGCAAACTATTATTCAATTTAAAATATATAGTTTATCATAAGTAATAAGCAAGGCAATCGTTATAACTGAATTTCTTAATAAAATTAATTTTTTCACATTAATTGAACATCACTTGAAAACAGCATATTCTTTGTGTTTAAAAGAATTTCGAAACAAAAACTAAATTTTTAAAACTAATAATTAGAATTAATTGTATGCGAAATGAATAGTATCCATACATTTTTGTGTATTGAAAAAGTTTGAAATAAATTAATTGATTAGATCATAGGAATTCATATTATATAAAAACCTTAAATATAACAAACTATTGAAAAAATATAACAAACAGATATATAATAATAAATACTATATTGGAAATGTAGTGTATATTGGAAATGTTTAACACTTATATAAAATATTGCATAAAAGTATAAATTATTAAAAAATTTTTATTTTTAATCCAAATGAATGTCAATAAAATTGGTTTCAAAATAAAATATGCATTCATTAATTGAATACATGGTTCGCAACAGAATCTTAAGCAGTTCGGTCAGTACATACAACTAGAGAGGGAGAGAGAGGGAGAGAGAGGGAGAGAGAGGGAGAGAGAGGGAGAGAGAGAGGGAGAGAGAGAGACAAAGATAATAAGCAGTGGACACAATGTAGTGGAATGGCTTCCGATAACATTTGGCGATACAATAAGACATAAGACATAAGTCATGGCAGCATATCATCTGCTTTTGTGACCGAAGACTTGCAAAACATTATTTGCAACCGAATTGACACTTCACTGCAATACACGACTCAACCAACACTACACAACACTTCACATATTATTGACTTCTTTGAGGTTTTGATGCTATAAAACACTATCAATACTATCAATGACTCGGTTTTTGTACAAATTAACAAAATCTGTTGTCAGCATCTCATTAAATGTCCAATTATTGTGATATTTGAGTTAGCATTTAGGAATTAGGATATTATTTCATTTCTATATTACAACATTTTTAAGAGATTATGATCTATCATAAGTAAAATTCATATTTTGTCAAATGTCAAGGCAATGTCACATGATTGTAAAAAGTTAACCGGGTGTAAATATCATAAACTTCTGATTTAACTTAATATTGATTTTGCAAACATTGCTATTATGATAAACTATATGTACACAAAGACACTAAGATTTTCTTTTTATAATAAAACTTGAAATACAATATTTGTGTTCATATAATGAATGAGAATATTGTATATTTATTAAAAATTTTATTAAAACAAAACAAATGAGAGAGAGAGAGAGAGAGAGAGAGAGAGAGAGAG